AACAATTCTCTTGTATATGTTTATATGTATGTGTATATATATATATATATATATATACATATATATATGCATAAATATGTATACATATTGTATATATAAATATATATATATATCTATGTAGTTATTGAAGTTAATAATAATTAGAATAAAAAAATAATAATTATCGAATAAATCGGCGCGAATCGGTGACAAACGCAGATTTCGTACATCTCTTTCGGATGACGCATGCTTTCACAATGTCTTTGTTGTCTTTCTCTCTCTCTCGCTCTCTCTCACGGAAGTCAGGGCTACTTTCAAAAATGTCTCATGTACACACACGACCGTCAAGACATCTCCATTGCGCCGGAAAGACCCGTTCTCTCCTACGCAACTCCGATTTGTCCACGTTCGAAAATTACATTCTCAGAGTCACACACTTAATATTCTCTCTCTTCGTCAGCGTTTTTATTATTCGCACTGTGAATCCATCTTCTTTTCTCGCAACTTTACCTTCTCGCTATATACGCAGTACCTTACTATAACGACACACGTAATCGACTTTAATTAAGATCTTACACCCTGATGGTGATCTTACACGCGAATTATAAAAGCTGGTTTGTTGCGATCAGCAAAAACCGAACGGCACGGTACGTTCTGCGAATTGTATTACAGTCGCGGGACGAGTTCGCTCTGCTTCATTCCTCGTCCCTTATATGTCTCTTCTGTAATCAATGTATGTGTGCGTGTGTATGTGTATCACGTGTATTTTTCGCGTACACGTATATTTTGCCGTATTACACTGAATCCGCACGCTTCTCGCCCATATTCAAATCGCGCTTACGACAACAACCATCCGATATAGAGACACATCGTCACTCCGTCACCGATAGTCGTACGCGAAACATATTCATACTGCCATACCACAGAATGGTTCTTGACAAGAAAGAGACGCGACGAATGAATAATCAATTGGCAAATCGAGCAATCAATTTTTTTCGGTGTGGTGCGACGAAATGTCGAACGACATATTGCACTCGAAAGCGAAGATTTTAGTACGCCCAAGTGGATTCCGATGAAGCAAAGAGCATGAATAAACGTGAACGAACAAACGAACGAGCTTGCTTCAATGTGTATCAATATGCGAATAGAAATGATTAATTAGATTAATTAAATTTGCGCCAATTGTCATTTCTTGTAGATACATCAAGGGGAAAGCGAACGTTATGTTCAACTCACGTTCATTCATAGCTCTTGGATTCGTTCTTGAATTCATACTTGCGGAGCGTCTTCGAATACGGGCTCTCGACACAACAGCGCAAAATATACATTCGTGTAGTAATAATAAGTGTGACTAATAGGACTATTCTACAGGATCTAATGCTTAAGGATCTAACCGTTGAACGGGACGCAGTCGAAGGCTTTCGCACGTGATGTACAATATAATACTGAATCGCTCGGGACAGTGTCGCGCGAGTACTGCGAACGGAACTGAGTAACTTCGGAGAACAATGATCGAAGCGTCGGCGGCGATTCGGCGTAATATGGCATTGTATAATCTTGATACATCATACAAATCCCTAATAATAATAACGTATTAGATTCATCATTCTACAATTAGAAAATTTAATTTTTACGATTCGTCGATTCGTCTATTGTTGCTACACAACTCATTCACGAAACATCAAAGCACGTAATTTCTGTCGTAAATAGGCAAGCAACTATGTATTACTAATTCACTTCTTAAGATTATTGAATACACTTGTAATAATTGAATGCAATTGACTAACATATTTAAGAGAACATGTTAAATCGACACAACTAATATAGAAATTACGTAATAGGTATAGACTGATAAGTACAAGGTTGGCCATATTCGACGGAAAGATGTTTTTTTTTCAATCATGGGAAACGTCATTATTCGATCTAACATCTCTGTCAAAAGTTAGTGTTGCCATATCTTTCCGTCGAATATGGCCAACCCTGTATATATGGTATAATCTTCATCTCTAATCTGCTCCGTAAGAAAGAGAATGTAGCTAATTACAGTGATCGCTTTTCAATTAGAAGAATGCTTAGTCTATACTTATTACGTTTATGGGAGTAATGTTTTCCGACGTAATACAGAATTATGATAGAAAAAGCAAATGTCGAAAATACTTCGTAGACACGAGCCAATATCTGCTTTATTTTAACGTGCCTTTGATTCTCGTAGAAAGTATTACCTCGGAAAGCTTTACTGCGTACAGACCATAAAGTAATCATATTATATAAATCACTAAAAATAAAAACTTAAGCTAAAAACAAAATATAAAAATACATTATGTCACTATACTGGTTGCCAACTCAATGTAATCTTACATATACATACATATATATATATATATATATATAAATTAAACCACAAGAATCAAGCAACAAAATATCCATCACAATCGTATTGATTGTGCGAACAGATCTCTGTATGTCGTGTGTATTGCGTGTTTTTTTCTTTTTTTTTCTTGTTTTAATTGCATTGCCTATTTAATCCATTAGATATTCGGTAACTGTAAAAAAGACTTACAAATAAATGATCCGAGGTTCAATCGATTCTAGAGTTATGATTCTATCTACAAATAATAATACCATCGTAAAAACGGAGAGACCAAAGCGATACACAGTGTAATTAAATATAATATAAACTGCCTCAAAATGGCTACCTATTTACTGCTATCATAAGTGGCTATTATGATAATAGTCATTAAGTATCGTTCACACTTCTTTGATTGTGGTTTAGTTACATACTTTAAGACGTTATGATACATGTGAGTATGACACGGAGTTCCACTAAAAATATCTGTTAGATACGCTGAGCATTACTGACTTAAGCACTGTACTAAATTCACATAAAATTGTATTGTATTATTATTATTAGAAAACTAATTATTTTTCATTGGTTTGAAATACTGGTTTAATATATCCGTATAAAACCTTTGTCAACTGGAACTCTTAGAATAATGATTTACACGATACTGATTCCTTGTTGGAAAGAATGCTATATACGAGTAAGTCATTACAATTCAACTCTTATTGGACATTACAACAGGCAACAATTGCAAGTCATGTTTTTAGTTCGCATTAACATCACAATATCCAATATGCGACTTATTTTTCTTTCCTTTCTCTTTCCTTTCCTTTTCCGATATATCGCTATATTGTGAAATGTACAGATAATCGTTAAATACGTAATGATCGCATAAAGAAATGATAAATGAGAATAAATACAATTATGTAAGATCTGTGACATATGTTTCAATTAATGTTCAACTTTAGCTTCTTGAGAATGTGTTCATCAGTCGGATGGCAGCAGTCTTACTGCAATTAATAGAAGCTCTAACAAGCCTTCTAAGTTAGATTAGTTTTTTCCTTTACATGTATCTTGTATATTGTCTAATATAAATAAATTAATGATCCAGTATGAGGCCAGAGAAAGGCAGTTACATACTCTAAGTGATAGATAAACTTTACTTTATCTTCTATGTGTTATTGTTCATATCCACTTTTGTTTTGTATCTTGCTGGATTATTGCGTTGCATGGAAAAATATGGCTTTATCCAAAATGCTATTTAACAAAGGCAATACATCGTACAATTACATTGTATGCGCGCCACAGTTGTTGTCACACAATTAAACTTCTTTGAAAAGGCAGAACCAGTGTCCGTAAAAACGAGAGGCTCCCCGATTTTTACAGACATCAGGTAATTCTTATCGTCAATTACAAATGCTGTTATTTGTACACTATGCATGTAAAAAGCATTACACTACATACGTCATGATCGTTCATCTCTTGTGATGTTCAACAAAGCTAAATGGTAAACTTCGAATAAATACCGGTTTTCCTCTTACTGTATAAGTTATCAAGGTATATATAGAATAAAGGCAGAAAGAAGAAACCTTCCTCGACAAAGTGCCTACAAAAATATTTATATAATAGATTGAGGATTGCTGTTTTCTAAGACTTTAATCTGGTTATATTAGCCACGTGTTACCAGTCTTAAACATAGTGACTAATCGATCATCATGGACAAGTCTTTTTGTCTTTCTACAACTGTATACATTTTTGATCTTTAAGCGTCACTCTCTGGTGCAGGGCATAAAGCGTGTAGTAATTAAGAATCTCTTTACCCCTCCGTGGGGCATATTTAAAAATACGGAAAGATAAATACTCGGTAAATACATGTGTACATGTGTACAGATGCCACAGATAACTTATCGAGAGCAAGCTGAGCTTCACTGAATCATATATAAATATGATGTAATAAAAAATAACTTATGCTACCAATCAATGCCTTCCCGTCAAAACATTTCGAGGTCATTAAAAAAATATCGGTTATATGACATAGTCAATCTTCTTTTTCACTTTTTCTGTTTTTTTTTTCACTTTTCTTCTTTTTTTTGAACTGTATTTTGTAAATCCGCCTTGTCACGAACGATATTGATGCAGGATTCAAAAACGTCTCACACTATCCATATAGGCTAGCTACATCGGTCACTAAGTAGAAGAACGGAACACGGCTGATAATTAACCATACGCGTAGCGTTCGTCCACAGCATGAAGGAATTCTTATCTTAGATATATGAACATTCTATACAACTTGTATTCTCGTCAATGAACGTCTCATTAAGTGCGCTTACATATAAATCCTGCGTATAAAAAAGTCTCAAAATAATAAGATTTTAAACATATTTGTTCAACGCTCGATCTAATATTTTGATCTTTAATGGGATTTCCCTTATAAGTATGACGCCATTACAACGCAAGCACTTATAAGTATGGAATTAATATTTCGATATTAATTCATGATGGATGACGGATGGAGTTCCCGTACAATGTATTTATTATACGAGAACAAACATTAAAGAGACAGTTTATTTCAAAGTCTTCAAAAAAGTATTTTCTTAAAAACTCTTGTTTTGTTCTAATTTTATCAAATTGATGCGTCAAATATCTAAAGAAAAAATTAATTTACCTTTTTTTTATTTAATATGTTTCAGTTATTTACATGATATTATATTGAAAATTTAAATCTATACAGATTTATACTGAAACTTCGTAATAATGCGCGGTTTGGTGTGATCGTTATAACGAAGTTGCTCTTACTTCACTCCAAAACAATAAAATTCAAGGTTTTAGTGATTACTGGCTACTTCCCATACTACTTATAGCACAAAAGGAATTTTTTGCGCTATTTCGAGACTACTATTTCGAGGTTCCAGTGTATTTTTATCTAAAAATAATTTTAGATAAAAATTAGAAACTTAGCTTTAAAGCATTGTCATTAAAAAAATTGTAGCTTTTTCTTTTTAAGAACAAAGCGTCAATATGTGTCATAGCTATTCAACATTTCTTTTGCTTGAGATAAAATAAAACAAGAATATGATTATATAAATTATAAATCGCAAGCTTCATTCTTTGTCTCTATTGTATTCAAGAAAAAAATCTCAAAAAACTTAAGAATAAACTGCCTCTTTAAAAACTACCACATATCGCGTGGCATTAGCACAAAATTCATGATTCACAATTCCTGATTCGCAATAAATTCGCAGAAATTCGTCATACGAAAAAATATGCTAAAAAAATGAAAAAATATAGAACAGCCTTCCAAACAGCCGAGTAAATCAAGGAAGATGTCGCAAATATAAAAAAATCGAGGACGTTAAGAGTATAAGAACGATTTCCTTTTCTAACATTCATATCTCAATTTTCCCGAGTGTCACAACTATTAAGTTGCCTTGAATTGTTTGCATCTTTAGTTCTACCACAACGAGAGGAATAATTTTCCAACTCTCAAAACTCGGAAATAACATATGAATGACAAGACCAAAAAGTAAATCTCTTCTTTGTCTCTATATCTATCCTTGATTTGTAGTTTATCGTTTGTAGTGTATAAGCAAACATTCGTAATAATTCTTATATTTTCGATTTCGTTGAAAAATCGCTCTACTAGCAAACATCTATTTCCGTACATATTACTTGCAAATGTCATACGAATGGTGAACCACGAATTATGTATTGCGATGTTCTGCCGCTAGCTTTATGCAGACTTATATTATAATAAAATATATAATAATATACGATTATACTCCAGTGTACTTCAGTATCCATGGTACAATAATATGCATCTTTTGTACTTAAAAAAAACTGGGTTTTTCAGGCAGTCTTCCTAAGGACATTGAATCCAACATAAATATGATGTAAGACACGATCGCCTGCAAGTTTCTTAACTTAATGCTGTGTCCGAACTTTTACATATGGTATCTTTTTTTATATACATGGAGAGGAGCTGTTCGAGACACAAAACTATACCTCCAAAACGCACACTAGGTCGGTAATGGCATAAATGCAAAAATATGTTATATGCTGTAAACATAGTAGTCTTGTAAACCAGCACGCAAACGTGCTGCTACGAATGAATAAGGCAATGTGAAAGGAAAATAAAATATAAACTCAGTATAAAGGAGCTAAAAGTATAAAAACTGACGGTCTGGAACAGCTCTATGATGCGGCGATAAAATGTTTGTCAATTCAAAACTGAATTCTAAAAAAACTCACTACTTCTTTGTACAGCACTACGGTAGGCTGGAATTTAGGCTCTCTGGCAAACGGTAATTCATCATATGATACGGTGGACTTGCCGGACTACTCGGTTGGCTATTCATACCAAGATTGCTGGAGCCGCGGCCGCGTTTTCGCCTCTGCAGAATGCCCTTTCTGACCATGTAAAAGCGAATTGTGCTGATCGGTATCTTGTACTTTTCCGAAGCTACTTGAAACGTCATGCCGCGTGCCACCATGTCCGAAGCTTGCTTGAGTTCCTCTTCCGAACGCCTTTGTCGTCTTTGATAACCTTGAAAGGTACCAAAATGTTTAGCTCTCGTAAATATACAAATAAAATGTAAAATACAAGATTAGATCACCTTTAAGCTCACCTTCAATCGCAGGGAATGGGCTGCTAGGATTGCAATTATTACTGGATACCATACTAATGGAATACGGTTTAGCATCCTGCTGTTGTACAAACTGCTCATCCGGTTCCATTTTTACCATTCCTGTAGTTTCGGTAAGAGTCGCTTCGCAAGCGCTAAGAGCTTTTTCTAAATGTTGTAGCGCTTCGCTATGTTCCATGTTTACGAAGTTGGAGGAGTTAGGATTTTGTGAAACAGGAGGTGTGATAGAGGACGAGTTGTTTCCTGTGCTAGCCATTGCCGTACATGAGATAAAGTCAGAGGTACTTTCATCGTTAGATGAAGTCTCCACCTTGAAGTTGCTGTCACCCGGAGTAGGAGTCGATGGAGTGACAGGTGCATTAGAATCACATGATTGTGTATTGCTCTCATTCATCGTGTTATCACATCCCTGAGTGGATAAGCCACGAACCTATCGAAGAATATATAATATATTGCCTAATATGTTTTTGCATACAAGTCAATATTAACATAATATTATATTATTATTACTATAAAGTAGTAATATAATATAATATCCATAAAATACATAAAGAAACATTAATATTTTATTATAAGATTCTTTGTGCGTTTTAAATTAAAATCTTATATGTTTTATAATCTTTACTAGAGTTGTAATCAAATATACACTGCCAGTATAAAAAATCTATATATAATTCACATTATACATACAATAGATTTTTAATACTGACAATGTATCGAAGCACAATCTAAGAATATTCATAATCGATTCTTATCAAACCTTAAATATAATCTTAAGATGTCATAAGCCAATTTCTCAAAGCTATAGCATCTTAAGGTATTGATTAAGATAATCTTAAAATAAAAATCGGCTATGAATGAGCTAACATAAAACTACTGCTAAAAGAATTAAAGAAAAATTGGCTGAAACAAAAGAAGTTATAGAAATATTAGTTGCATTTTGGTTTTGCAAATAGAAGACATCCGTATTCTATTCTATATTCATCGAATTCAGTAAACAATGATAGAAATGATGGAATGATTACAAATGCCATTGATTTGCAAAACCAAATGCAATTATTGAAGCGTAACACTAAAGCATTTCATTGGACCATATTATCACCGAGGTTAACCTGTGCAACACATAGAATGGCAGAATTAGAGAGGAGACGGCATTTTTAACAAGAATTTCTAAAAAAATTGAATTATGCAAATAAGGATGGCATAAGTCCTAATTTCCTGTAATTGGATACAAAATACTGTCAAATAAATGCAGAGTGTGTTCTAAAATTCAACTCAGTCCGATTATCTTTTATCCTTGCTGAACATTCAGTGAGTAACAAGGATAAAATGATACTCGGAGTTTTGTAATGCATCCCAAAAAAGTCAAAAAACAGTACCTGCAAAACTTCCGCTGCTTGCATTAAAGTAGCGAGTTGTTGTTGCTCCACATACACCTCCCCACGATACATAAATTCAACCAGGGCTTGAAGCTCCCACATTTTCATGTCTCTCAAAAAGATGACAGGATGGGTACATGGGATTTCCAATAGAAGACGCTCCAAGTAATCGCTGCAGGCGGACAATACAACCTTGTGACACTTTATTGAACCTCCGTCACAAGCTAGAGTCACATCGACAAATTGCTCCGAGCTGAGTAACTTTGGAAATGCACTGTGCATGTTCGACTGATGGGAATTCCAAGAGACACAGAACTGCTGACGATCTCCTCCAGGATAAGTGCCCGGATTGGGCAGATTACTTCCGGATTCCATGATAGTAGCTTAATGCAAAACAAGTTGCCTGTAAAAAAAAAACAAGAATCATTCCACTGGATAACTATCGCAAAAGGATTGTGTTTTGTTTCAAACACATGAGATTCGCGTTACTTAAAATCTCCAAACTCTTGCACTTAAAATGAGACAATATATATTCGGACGTTAAAAAAAAACGAAGATGTTGAACGCAAAAAATGCGAGAAATGCAAACAGACTTACGGTACCGGTTATTATAGAAATCACTTTAGAGAATATATGTCATAAATACGATTTTGTGATAAGAAAAAAACTATTAAAAATGTGCTCTTAAAAAAAAAACAAAAAAATATCCTTCAGACGTCTCTTAATTTTTTATCCGTCGCTTGAGGTACTTAATAATTGAACAAAGCGGCGCATTCACACAAGGAACGCTAATGGGAACCCGCAAAATAAAAGTATAAAAAAAAAAACGTTCGACAAAGGCAGCAACAGCGCTAACTTGAAAACGGATTCGGAGAAGGAACGCATCCGACGCCGCGCGAAGGGCCTCCTTCGGCCGCGAGTTATTCTTGGACGCCGTAATTAAACGAAACAAATGACGAATCTGACGTTCCGGCGCGGCGGCGTTTTCACGGACTTTCGTGAAATGCCGGGCGAACGAAATTCCTCTTTCAGCTGTCGAGAGAAACGCGCGACGCGACGCGTCGTCCTCGACGACAGCGGCGTCGAAAAGAGCGGCGTGCGCGAAACGCGGGAACGTCAATCCGGAACAAAGACAAAGACGAGCCTCGGCCGTCGGCCGTCGACCGTCGGCGGGGCCAGTCCCGACCGCCGAGTACCGACTCGATTACCTCGTATGGGGGATCGTCTTCAGCCGGAACGACACGCGTGCCGCTCGTTTTTCCTAGATTGCCGCGATCGCGCGAACAAAAGAGATCAACGGCGGGATCTCAAGGGGCTAGGTTAACGAGAAACACGATGGTAGAGTTAAAAAAAATTACAATATGGCTGTCTGGCATAGGTCTGGAGCGGAACAACAATATCCGTGCATACATACACACGCGCACGTAACCGAGAATGAAATATATAGGCGCGATATACACACACACACACCCGCGCACATATACGTATATGTAAAACCGTACACACGCATATATCGGATACACATATATATGTTAACTCACATCACGTATATGTATATATATTACACACGAATATAAAGGCCGAACTCGCGCCACAGTCCTCCCTAACGACACGATGCTATTACACGACGTTCGTTTGCGTTGCTTGAAATCCAAAAATGTTTATTAAAGTTTGAACGACGAAGAGAAGAAAAGCGAAGATTCTCAAATAATGTTAAAAGCAATAAACTTATTTTTTTTTATAAAAGGATTAAAATTGTATTTCTTAAAATAAGGGGAAATTTACAAAAGCCAATGAATTTATTAGAATATTTTAAGATTTCAACACCTTTTACAGTATTCATCTTGTTTTAAGATACACAATCAACCCCTAGGAATCGCGTTAGAAAGCATTCCTAAATGCTCAGACTCTCAAAAACTACAATAAAAAAAAAATACATGAAAATGCGTTACATTCTTTTGAATAAAATCTCATTCCAAAAAGAGTGAAAATTTTGCCAGTCATGAGAAAGAGTGGCAGAATTTTCAATCTTCTTAAAAGTTATATTTCACCCTTAATTAAATAAAACTTATATCCTTTTCTATCAATGTAATTTAATTTTAATTTCAATTCAATAATTCATCTTTTCCTAGTTGTAAAAATTAGAAAAAGATGAAAAGTAAATTGAACCAAGATTAAAATTAAACTGTATTTGCCTCAAAGAATTTAGAGAACAGGTTTCCTTTCTGACAGTGGAATCTCACACTGAAGATTGAATTAGCTTGAAAAAGAGTGGCTTCTTTAAAAATGAGATTTCCTTCTTTGAAATGAGATTCATTGTAAAAAGTTTCAAAGAATAGTATCTTTGTATTATATTTTTTGAGAATAAGGCTGCCAGAGACAATTCGAACGCGATCGACACCGGTCGGCGAATCGATCGGCAGACGGCAAATCGGGCGAGGACGGGTGCCGCCGGTTGAAAAATCGTCCGTGGACGCGATGCGGTGTGCGCGCGTGTGACAAGCTCACCGTATATAGATATAAGCGATACACACAGCCGGATGCACGCGCTTTCGTGGAGGCGGACAAGCGAGAGCGAGCAAGCAGGCAGACGGACAGACAGACGGGTGGCGTGCACTCACTCACTCGCTCGCTCGCTCACTCACTCACGCACTCACTCACTCACTCACTCACTCACTCACTCACTCAATCTCGCACTCACTCACTCACTCACTCACTCACTCACTCACTCACTCACTCACTCACTCACTCACTCACTCACTCACTCACTCACTCACTCACTCACTCACTCACTCACTCACTCACTCACTCACTCACTCACTCACTCACTCACTCACTCACTCACTCACTCACTCACTCACTCACTCACTCACTCACTCACTCACTCACTCACTCACGCACTCACTCACTCACTCAATCTCGCACTCACTCACTCACTTACTCGCTCACTCACTCACTCAAGCAAGCACTTCACTACTGAACACTCACTCGTTCAGCAAGTAGACAGAATGAAAAAGAAAAAGCAACGCGTCTCTTTGGGTATCGCCGCCTGCGGCGAGGATAATGCCAATGACACTAGTTACCGTACAATCGTCACGTGTCAATCGTCGAGTTCGTCGAAGAAACAAACGGACAAATCTACGAAGTGGAAATGTCGTCGCTTTTTCGTCGGGCAGTCAGTATTCGCGACGACGGGAGTCAAGTCAGCCGGGTCGCGTTTTACCCGAGCCGCGAGCGGAACGCGTCCCCACGGCACGGCATGGGATAAAAACGGGATCTCTGCGGGAGAAGTGACACCCCCATGCCCAACCTCCCCACAGGAATGCTCCTATAGGAGTATATGGAGACTCCTACAAATTTCATTCGTACATACACTCGCGATTCGTGCGTTCGTTCGCCTTTCTCGTTCTTTTCACGCTTCCTCCCACG